AAAGTACTCACGCTTTTCGCTGAGCGATTTCCCACGTCAACCGTGCTAATCGTTGCTCGTGCTCATTCGTCTTTGTGACTTCTGGCCGGGACACACCTTCAGGAGCATGCGCGTAGAATTCATCCAAAGGAACCAGGTCAATTTCCTCATCACCTGCGCTATAACAAATTCATTTAGATTGGAAACAGTGAAAAAATGTGAACAATAAAATCTCTTAAAAAGTAAACAATTAAGAATTGATTATCAGCGATATTTGCAGAATTATTATGATAGCATACTAATTGGACTTGGATTTTGTCTTAGAGCTCTATAATGAGGTCGTTTGGCTCAAGATGACTTTATATGCTGAGATCCAGCTTCCTTTATACCACTCTTGCTATCCGTTTGCAGAACTTCCGCTTAAATATCTTAGTTTCTCAGCAAAACGGATGAATAGTACAGCTTCGTTTTACCAATCTCAAATAGCGACAAAGACAAACTCAATGTAACAAATTAAGAGTATTGCTATCGATTCAATCACTCTCACCTCATAGTTCGGAATAGCAGCGGCCAACTAACCTGAACTGTAAACAACGACTGATCTCCTTCTGCAAATGTTGTATTTCGCTCGATGAGTTTTGAAGATGTAAATACTTTGCTTCTACCTGAAATCGAGTTTCATTTTAATAAAAGTTTAAAAAAAACTTTTGTCTTGAGACTGAGAACTTTTTTTAAAAGCAACGCAGCGTACAACGGACTCGATAACCAGGCCCCCATGGCAGTTTGTATCGAAGAAAAGCAGTCACAAAAAGCCGATCCCTCGAGACCATGACAGCTATTCAGCAGCGCTATCGCTGTCTCGCCTTTTTATGACTTCAAGTTTAGAAAACCCACAAAATAATAACAGTGTACGGAAAAGCGCCAATCACGATTGCACTGAGGTATTCGTCATAAAAATTTGGAAAACAAATATGGGATTGAACTGCAGTAAGAACATATTGCTGGTATACTTCTCTCCTTGAATATCAAAGTCCTCACCTGTTCAAGCATCGCATTGGTTTCAGAACGGAGCTGCGCTGTTGCGTAGTGTGCAATTCTCGAACATCTGCGCATTTGGATGACATTAAGCAATACACTGGAGCTACAGGGCTGAAATGAGAAAAGTGGTCTACAACAGATCTGTACAAAAGGTCTCTCATCAAACATTAGGACCATATATAAATTGAACATAAAGTTCTCTATTTCAAGAAAAACACAGAAATAAAAGTGCTTTTGTTGGTTAGCAATGTAGGGATCAAGAAATTATGAATTGAAGTATCGGAGGCCAGTACATATCACCAAGTTCGATCTTTCTGATTGTGAAGATGTCTACATCCTTTCTAAGGTGCCCAACCGTGTGTATTGTAACATGTCCAGGAGCAGAGATTTTATGCAACTCGCTTTCTTACCCCTTCTGAACTACAAAAGCTTCATACCTCCCATCACACCCCTATGGACACATTGGAGAATCGAGTCCCCTTTGCTGATCCGAAACGACAAACGGATATACTGTCTCCTTAAAAAGTCCTGTCAGCTCTTATCAACTAGTATTAATTCCTGCCACCTTCCATCCACTATCTCCTTACAGCTCGCATAACGTATCGAGTTTCTTTTTCAATACCAACCGCTAATGAATACAATGCCTCTGTCATCGAAAAAGTTATCAGCTGTACAGTTGTTGTCACATCCTTTGTCCACCAAATTTTCTCACCCTTTTTGACTTTTCAACTTCATAGATCTAGGTTCAATGGGACGGAGATTATGAATTAAACACACATACAAGAACATCACAGGACTGAGTAAGAGTCACAGTAGGGTAACTGCCTTGTCTACTCACAGAACGAACACAAGGTATTACAAAACAAAAACCTTTTACCTCACTGTCACCATCTATGACCTTCTGCAGCGCAGCTCTCAGCATTCCTGACTCCCGAAGGAAACTTTTTTCAAGCTCAGCGTGAGTTGTGGAACGTGCTATTTCATCTTCCAATTTGTACAAATCCTGAAAGTTATGCGATGTAACGCAGTTGTAACGATAGATTTCACAAGTCAGAAAGGACCACTTCATTTGCACTCATCATTCGGGATCCCTTAACACAACGGCGCACTTTCAAAACA